TGTGGTCCTAGACTGCATAAAAAGAAGAAAGCCAACTGAGAACCAATATTTAATCTCTATTTTTCCCAATTAGGTGCCACTCTCATCATGATTCTCCCATTACGTTGGACGTTATCTTCAAACTGTGAGGGTAAACAAACTCTTTTTTTTCTTTTTTGTTTTTTCGAGACAGGGTTTCTCTGTGGCTTTGGAGGCTGTCCTGGAACTAGCTCTTGTAGACCAGGCTGGTCTCTAACTCACAGAGATTCACCTGCCTCTGCCTCTGCCTCCCGAGTGCTGGGATTAAAGGTGTGCGCTACCACCGCCTTGTTCTCTTTCTTTCTTAAGTTGCTTTAAATAGGTATCTTTCCACATGAGAAAAAAATTAATAAAGTGGTGTTATTTTCAAAACTTTGTGAACATAGGTTGCTTCAGTGCACCTATATCCGAAGCATCCCACACACATTGGTCCTTTCTCAGCAGCTGCATTCCCGTAGTCCATCACTGCCTCTGCCTGGGAACTTTGTTCTTGTGACTTCCAGGACACCTCATGTTCTGACTTCTTTTATTTCCCAGGTGCAGCTGCTTCTGCCCTGATGAGTTCCTCCTCTTTTCTTATTAGGTGTACTGGAGTTTGTATTTGGTCCTTTTCATCTGTCAATCTTAGTTCATTAGTGATCTCATCCAAAGTAATGTTCTGTAAAACCCTTAATCAGTACCTTTATCCCAGACTCTTTCTCTACATCAGGCTTCTGTATTTAACACTATACTTGTAGTTACATTTAGCATCACTTGTATGTCTCTCACACAGTTCAAACACAGTAGGCTAAAGCCTGGTTCCTGGTACCTCCCCACCAGTAAATGAATTCTCCTCATAGGCTCCCTGTCTCATACAATGATAACTCAGGTTCTTACAGTTTCTAAAGCTTAATCTGTTGGCATCATTTCAAATCCTCTCTATTTCCCACTCCATACATAATGGATTGAAGAAATCCACTCGCCTTTCCAAATATATCCAGGAGTCCAGCATGTCTCATCGCCTCCATTGCTATCTTCTTCTTCTGAGACAACATCAATTCTCTTGATGACATCATTTGGAGGTCTGTATTCGTTACTTTTCTATTGCATGTGTCATCAGGTAGGTGGACTACAATGAACCTTGCTAATCTATTGGACTCAGATGCTTTTGCATTCTTAGCTTTTGGGTTAAAGGAGATTAGACAAGTACACACTTAATAACACTTTCCGTGAACTTCCGTAGAAGTCATGGGGTGTTAGGTGAGACAGGCAGGATGATAAAAATGGCTGGTAAAACATACTCCAAGTTAACTTTGTCGCTTCATGTGTATCAACCCACATCACCATGTTCACATTGTTCTCCGCAGTCATGGGCCTGGTAGTCTAAGGCTTTAGAATACAGATGTTCCTTCTCCGGGGAGCTGGCGTTCAGTCTTGTAAATTATTCATCTAAGATGTTTTGTGATAGTAACAGAAGGTTGAGTAGCACATGGATTATAGCAATATCCCAAATCCTCTGTTTTTCCTCAGTCATTCCTGCTCCTGAGATTCTTAAACACAACAGCCAGAATGATCTTCCTACATCATCATTGATTCCATGAAGTGGCTACCACTTCACACAGGATTCAAGCCCCTACTCCTAGGCCCTTCGAAACCCTGTGTCTGCATCTCCTTGACCTCATTTCCTGCCTTTTGATGTGGCCTTCTCCTTTCTCACTGGCATCCTTGACTGTCTTTGAACTGGAATACGTGGTCCTGCCCTGCTTCAGTGCCCATGTACTGGTTGTTTTCTTTGCTTGGGCAGCCTTTCCTCAACTAATAGCTAACTCCTATCTCCAGATCTTTGCTCACCTCAGTCCATATTTTCCAGGGAGTCTTTCTTCTCTGCAGCCCCATAGAGCCCACTGCTAACTCGACTCCCCTTATCTACTTTTACTTTTGTTTGGTGTTTATTACCTTTGAACCTATTCCACAGTGTCGTGTTTTACTATGTTAATGAGTTGTGAAGGGATCATTGCCTGTTGTTTTCACTGATACAGTCAAAGCACCTGGAAGTATCTGAAACAGTGTTGAACATTTAACAAGTGGGTTTTGTTGTTTATTTTTTATTAAAGAATGTTTTGAGTTTATAATATAATTACATTATTTATATGTATTATATTATTATTATAATATAATTACTCACTTCTGCTCAGGCTGTATAACCAATAGCATGTATTTGTATGCACGTGTTTTCAGGCCTGACTGTTTTCGTATTGGACAACCAATTGGTGTGCTCTTCCCTGGAGAAGGCTATTTCTCCTGCTCTCAGCATTCCTTAGTTTCCTGTAGTTCTTTGTGTAGGGTTGGGGCCTCTTGAGACTTCCCCAGCCCTTGTTGGCATATTTTTAGATGAATTTGATGGTATTCAGTTAGATATGGTCACCCAACCTTCCAAAGGGTGAGGTGAATGATGGCTCTGGACTACAAAGGCCACAGGCAAAGTTCTGGGCATTCCTTAGGTGTACACAGGCTCCTCCCAGTGCTGCTGCATCATTTGGAATTTGGAAGCTTGAGTGCCTCTCAGCTTAGTCCTTTTCTTTTTCCAGGGCTAAAATCTTTATTTTAGGATTTCCTATTTCCTTTTTTCTCTGATTGAACTGGTCCTAACTTATTTCCAACAATTCCTCCATATTCTTAACATTACTTTCCTGACAAGCCCTGGCTCTTGCCACTGTAACAGGACATGGTTCCCACAAGCAGAGTAATATCTGGGACAACCTTTGATGCTTTGTCTAGTTAATGCCAGGAAGGTTTTTTTTTTAGTATAGCTAAATGCTTGGTAACATAGCAAATTGGAGGGAGGGGAGGCAAAAGCTAACTTTTTATCTTTGTTCTTGGGACTGAAATTTCTCTTGGTACTCACCAACTTCATGTGTTAGTGCAAAATTCAGACTGCAGCTGGAGTGATACTCTACAAACCCACACTCTGAAAACCTGTCTTACCCAAAGCATAAATGCCACCCAAAATATCAGATAATGTCGTTGGGACGATTCTGTGTCTGAGTAACTATATTCAGTCTTTCCTAAAATGTAGCAATTAACTTTTGTTTTATTTTTGATTGTGTGTGTGTGAGTGCAGGTGCCAGTGGATGCCAGGAAATGGAGCTGGGTCCCTCAGGACTGGAATTACAGGCTGCTCTGAGCCACCAGTGTGGACACTAGGAAATGAATTCAGGTCCTCTGTTGTTAACAGCTGAGCCATGTGTCCAGTAAATGTAAAATCTAATGTATGACTCTTTTAAAAATAAAAGTTGAATATGTTGGGAGTTAGGACCTAGATTAGATCATCTTCACCTTAGTGTAAGTATTGTGGAGGCTCAGATGGAATGGACTGGGATTCTGGCACTAGGGAGCCAAAGAATACTGAGTGTTACAGTTCGGATGGAAAGGTATTCGGGCAATCAGGAGTCAAGGAGTACCACAGGTCACAGTAAATGCAGCAGCTTACAGCCCTGCTTCAGAGAAAGGCTTCCCAGTGTATTAGCTCTGCTCCAGCAGGAGAGGGCTTCCCTGGCAAAGTTGCAACAGTTCGGCTCCAGTCCCCTGGACAGCAGAGTGTGACAACTTGGCTTCGCCAGGGGAAGGTTTCCCCAGCAAAAAGTGTTATAGCCTTGCTCCGTTCAGCCCAGTCTAGCGAAAGAAGGTCTCACCCCAACCTCATTCAAGAGATTTATTGTGGGGGAAGAATGCAGGAGAGAGGTTGCCGTCTGCCACCCAAACACCACAAGCTGAACAGACATAGGGTTTATATAGGGATTCTTAAGGGGCAGAGTTTTTCCAGGGAGATTTCCAGGGTGGGGATTGGCCAGATTTCAATCCCTGAGCTCAGAATGGCTAGATCTCCTGCTCAGGGAGTGGTTGGTTTTCTGCACAGGTTTAGGGTCAGATTTGGCTCTGGTTTCAAGGCCAAAGTGTGTTTCTTTCACTGGTCCTTTTTAGCCTTTTGACTCTAATTTTAGGGCCAGGGTGTTTCTTTCACTGGTTCTGATTCCAGGGACAACGTTTTTTTGTTTGTTTGTTTGTTTTTTGGCACTGTTTTCAGGGTCAGGGTACATTTCTTTGGTTCTGGTTGCAGGGCCAAAGTGTGTTTCTTTGGCTCTGCTCAGGGTGTGTTTCTTTGGCTGGCCCCTTTCTCCTTACACTTAGTGCTACTGAAACCTGCACTGCATTCAGCCATTAAATGTCTTAAGGAAATTCCACAATGTCCTGACTTTTAATATGAGTTACCACTTCAAAACCATTTTTCTTTTTCAAACTTTGAATTGTTTTAAAAGACTTTTTTTTCCCTTTGCACCTTCTTGTCAGGCAAACTTAATCCTTGCTTCACAATATAATGCAGTGGGGACGGACTTTTCCCAGAGTTTGAGTATTCAAAGGTCACAGTATTCAAAAGCAACACAGGCCCAATAGTTCTGCACCTGTCTGCATTTCATATGCAGGAAAAAGACCATACTTTTAAGTGCCTCTGTGACCGGGTGGGAGGCAGGCCTACGCGGGTAGATGCTAAGTGTGAGTTAGGTACCTGATTCCTGCCTCAAGTCGGGCAGCAGTGAACTCTGGGCACCCCAACAAACCTGAACAAGAGAGAGACCACCCCACCCGTCCACGGCTCTCTAACCCCAACCCCCCCTCCCCTCCCCCACCCCGCCCTGCCTTCCCCTCCCCCGCCCCGCCCTCCCCTCCCCTCCCCTGCCCCGCCCTCCCCTCCCCTGCCCCGCCCTCCCCCGCCCCGCCCTCCCCTCCCCCGCCCCGCCCTCCCCCGCCCCGCCCTCCCCTCCCCCGCCCCGCCCTCCCCCGCCCCGCCCTCCCCTCCCCCGCCCCGCCCTCCCTGGCCTTGTTTTGCCTTCGGCCACCGAGCGTCCCTTGTAGGTAGGTGCAAGGCCCAGGCGCGGAGGCGGGGCCCCCAAACCTCAGCCAATGGGCGCCAGTGGGCCGGGCTGGCCGTCGCCCGGTTGCCCGGGTGACTCGTGCGCGGCCCGCCTCACAGAGCCGAGGCTTTGGCGCGCTGCTGAGCGCGGCTCGAGTGGGAACCCCGGGTGTCTTCCAGCGGTGTCCCGAGATGCCCACGTGGAGCCTGCGGCGGAGGCCGGGCCGCACACTCGGACTCCTGCTGCTGCTGATCTTGAGCTTCTTGGTGCTCCGCAGGTGAGACAGAGTCCCCGCCAGCACCCGCGGGACTCCTGTGGTGTCCCCCAGCCCTAAAGCCTCAGGGTCTCGTCCGCCGCCGGCCTGGGAGACGACGGGCACGCGCGACCTTAATCTCTTCTTTCCTTAGAGCGCGCCAGCAGCCCGGAGTCGCTTTGAGCCTCCAGTCAAACACACTTGCCTCTGGGTAGCACCAGGCAGGCACTGCCCTGTCACCCCCTGGGGGTCAGTGTGTTGTGTTTCTCAGTGCGCCACACTTGGTGCGGGTCTCTGCTAGGTCTACAGCCGCGTCCAGTCCTGTGGGAAGATCGGCAGAACTGGTCTTCATACCCCTCCTCGTCAGACGCCCCCAGCACTGCTTCTTGTAGCCCCCTAGGCTTGCTCCTCTGTCAGCCCCCGCATTTCCTCCCAAGCTGGAAGTCTCTATTCGGCAGTCAGTGTTGGATGCCCACGGCTAAGGTGGACTTTGAGTCCTAAGGACTCTGTGCGTGGCAGCCTCCCCTGGACTCCCAGACCCGGATTTATTTACACTGTGCTGCTATTTAGGTGTCTCCGCTTTGCCCCTACACTTTAGTATGTGTCGTCCCCCCCCCCCCGCCCCAACACTTTATAAACTGCTGCTTGTGGCAGTCGGTGGTGTTCATTGAAGGAATGGTTTTCCCGCTGCCCATGAACAAGTTTTCTGGTGATCCACTCCAGAAGTTTTCCTAAGCATATCTATTTATAGATAGGAGCCCACAGTCCTGCAGCTCTTCCAGCCGATGCCTGGTGCTTTACATATTCAAATTCTCCAGTGTTGCTGGGTAGCACAGCAGCAGCCTGGAATGTTTTGGCCTTTGACTTGAGTTGAAGGCCCAACCCTGGGAACTGGTGTTGGCTATCACCCTCAGTTTTGACTTTGACTCGGTTTTTAAATCCTTTTCCTCTCTTCTGTGTCCTTCCTCTGGAACCTTCTTCTTCTTCTTCTTCTTCTTCTTCTTCTTCTTCTTCTTCTTCTTCTTCTTCTTCTTCTTCTTCTTCTTCCTCCTCCTCCTCCTCCTCCTTGTCCTCTTCCTCCTTCTCCTCCCTCCCTCCTCCTCCTCCTCTTCCTCCTCCTCCCTCCCTCCCTCCTCCTCCTCCTGTTTAGATGAAGATGTATGTTTTTTGCTGCCATGAGAATACACTGGGGAACTTCACGCTGATGTCTTTTTAAGACTTATACCCTTTGTTTCTGAGAGGATGCCAATACATTGTTTGGTAGAAGAAAATGGATCTTTTCTCATTCTGGGGCCTGAGGAACTCCCAAGTCATTTTATTTCCTTAGTTATTCCAAGCACTCTCCCCATCTTACCCATTCTAACTGTCTTTTCTTTGAAGCTTGGTTTTGGCTTCTGTCAAGTACTCAGCTTTCCCCAGGTGCAAGGTTGATGCAACTCCAGAAGAATCACTCAGGGCTGAGGCAACAGGCACTCCTTCATAGAGCAGGCAGTCATGGAGCTGGGGCTCCAGGGAAGTGTGTGTTTGTTTTTGATCAGAAGTGTACCTGTCCCTGCAGGTGACTGAGAAAGGTGATTGTGAGGGCAACTCTGGAAGGGATGAACCTGGTCAGGTAACATTGCCCAGTTGTCTTCAGGAAAATGTGTGGGAAGGAGGCAGGATGTTTGTCACCTGGCAGGACACTGATGAGGGGTCAGGCAAGTGACTGGGCTGTGAAGAAGCCTGACCAGAATTTTCATAGGTGAGTAACTGATTCCCCACCCAGGCTAGGTGGCCATGGCAGGAATCAGGCTGGGGCTGTGGAGTGAGTGGGTCAGGAATAGCAGCAGAGAATGTATAGCGGTGACTCCAGCCTGGAAAATGGGTTGAAATGCTAAGTTGCTTCATGACTCCTTCCTTTTCAGCAGGTGAGGAAGCCTAGAGAGGTTCTGACCCAAGATCAGGGTCTTCTTTTGGATCCCTTGGGAATACAATTCTCTTTGGCATCATATGGATTGTATCATTCCCATATGTGCTTGCTGCCCAGTTCTTTCTGTCAGACTTGTGTGGGACACCAGTGACTATGAGTTACTTTAATAGCTGTGGAGCCAAAGGAAAACAAAGTGGCTCTCTCTTCCTGGCTTACCCCAGCTTTGACTAGGTCATTAACTGAGCAGGTGGGTGGGTGCCTCTCCCAGCTGTTGTTGGGGAATGTTGGTGTGGCCAGTGGAATATAGGTCACATGGAAACTGGCTACTCTGCTCACAGTGCTCTGGAGCCCAACTGTAAGGACCAGCCCTTTTCCTGGACCCTGACAGCAGGCATTTGAAGGTCGCCAGGGGTAAGGTGTTTGGCTGTAACATTGCCTTTTCCTTGGGTTAGTTCATAGTCAACTATTGTTGTTTGGTCATATCACATTTAAGAGATAGGAGGACTGAAAAATGACTTTGGGGAAGATTTCATTCAACATTTTATTTTTTGTTCCACACAATGTCTTTTCTTAAAAGAAGTATAGTTGTTATACAGTGAATCGTACATAGTAGATTGATCAGCTTTGATATAGATAACATGGGACAATACCAGCACAATTAGAAGTAGTGGAAATAACCGTCTTTCTCCTCCCTGAATTCTTTTGTACCCCACGGTCACCCTTCCCTTCCACTTCTACCTCTGTAGCACTCAGGATCCACTGGGGGGTTTTCTGTGACCTTGTATGCTCTCTGAGGTGTGTACTTTCCTTTGGTGTGGCTTCTTTGCACTTGAGAGTGGGAGGCTGTGCTATCAGTAAGAGCCAGAGCTTTGAGCTGGCTGCCTTTTTTGTCCATTCACTCAATGCCACCCAAGAATGCCTATTTGATACAATCAAGGCACAGTCTCTGTACGACCTTTTCCCTCAATATAAATGCTTCACTGAGCAATAATTCAGTCAGCTCTGCATATCTTAGACTTGAGATTTTTATCTGTCCAAACTGGGGAAAGAGGGGGAGAGGGAGAGAAGGGGAGGGGGGAGAGAGAGAGAGAGAGAGAGAGAGAGAGAGAGAGAGAGAGAGAGAGAGAGAGAGAGAGAGGGGAGAGAGAGGGGAGAGAGAGAGGAGAGAGGGGAGAGAGAGGGGAGAGAAAACCAGAGGGCTCCATTAGGTTTTCAGCCTCATGTTTCTAGTAGATGAGTTCATTTCTTCTCTCAGCTCATTGTTAGTTGCTGTTCCTGTACCACCAGTCTCAGGACTTCCAGACCCTGGTGTCTTCCTTTTAAACTTTCCCTTGCTAAAAGTGGATAACTTGGGTATGACGACTGAGTTAAAAAAATAAATCAATGTGCTTTCCAAAGGTAATCTATGGGCAGAAATTGTGTCTCTCTTCTGCGAAGCCACTGATTTTATGAGCTTTATGTTCCTTAGGACTCTACTCTGAGGCCTGAGTCATGGACCCTGGAGTGTCACAACTCTGAGTGCTGTCCCTCTCATCTTTTAGTAATAAAGTTTTTAGAATCTGGGAAGTGTCTCTGGGCAGGCAGTCACCTCACAGGTGGTGAAGCAAAGCCACCTGGGAAGTGGCTTACATTACAGTGCAGGAGAACTAAGACATCTGAGTTACTCTGTGCTGGAAGAATGGGGTAGGCACTGGGATTTTTATGGAACCACGTTAGCCAGTCTCTAAAGGAGACTGAAGTTCTCTTAGAACTTTGACACTTTTGATGGGAGCGGAAAAACTGCAATGCGTCGGCATCAGGTGTACCAGAAGGGTGGCGGAGGCTCTTCCCACCTCCTTCAGTTAAGTAGCCAGGAAAATACATGCATTTAATCTTTGCTAAAATGACAGTTACACCTTCTAACTGGCCACCTCCAGCAGGGGCAAAGTCCTTTTGGTGGAGGGATGTTTTCTATTCCACCCAGTCTCATAGTTTGCTTGAATCTATTACTGTGGATGTTAAATCCCACAATGGAAAGAGAATTCCCCTTGTGTGGGACTCTTCCTGGGATCAAAGGGAAGGGATGGGTTTCAAGGCTCATGGTAAGGAAGCAAACACTTTCAGATCGTGTTTGCCCAGGGCATACTCAGTTGACTATCATGGCTCCTTTGGTGACACTCAGCACAACACTGGTGTGTCCCATTTCAATAAAAATGTTTTCAAGTATTTAATTTGTGGGTAGGTGGTTCATGAACATCAGACGATGAAGGGAGGGTTAGTGAGAAGAAACTCCTGCATCCTGCTTCCTTTCCACCAGAGACAGTAAGGGATGGTAGATTCTTTTCCATGTGTTGTATGCATAAATGAGGTGATTGCGGTACTGTTTTCCCACTCGTCCATTAGACACATAATTTATTTAAGCATTCCTCAGCTGATGGGCATTGATTGTTTTTAGTCTTTTAGCTACTGAAGTAAACAGCTGCAACGAATACACAATGGGTGGACTTCTATAAGAAGCATTGCTGACCATAACATATTAATTTTAAATCTTGGTACATTCTTCCAAAACAGCATATTCCATTTCTCGTGGGTCATGTAAAGGACATTTTGAGCTAAACTTCTTAGGCTAAGGGAGAAAGTTCTTTTTAATTTGTATGTAGGACAATATAGATTCCTGAGATTTTATAAAAATTATTGTGTCTATCATGTAGCTTTGTGAAACAATCTTAAAAAGTAGATTTTAAAACACTTAATGCAGCTGCACTGTCTCCTATATCAGGTCATTCTATTTACACTCCCCGAGCACCCCTATAGGCTTATTATTAAAGACCAATAATCTTTTTTGAGTTATCGCAGTTTGCACTTCTCTTTAGGCTGAGATACACTAATTTGTTGATCTGTGAGGCTGTTGATGGAATCTTTTTTCCTATGGTCACAGTAAAAGTGCAGTATCACTTGTAGTTTTGGCTTTTGTTAGGTGGTGAATTGTGGAAAGGGTCTCTGCTTTGCTGCCTCTCAAGGTGTTGGTCTAATGCACACCTTCTTGATGTGTATTACAGTATTTAGAAAATGTTGCTCTCTGAAGCACAATGCTGTCTTAGGGCCAAGCACACAGACGTCTATAGCCTGGGAAGCA